CTTGAGGCGCATTCGCCATAGACTTTGCATGTAAACTGGCAGCTCCTGCTGCTCAAAACGCTCTCGGTGTGAACGAGCCATTAGGTGTCGTGTCATGTGCATGTATTGAATGCAGGTGGGGCTCAACTCAACGTCCCCTTGTTTTTGTTTTTTCCCTCTTTGTGTTGGTTATCATTGGGGCCCTTATTCACACCTTTTTGCTCACAGGGGGCTGAGTCATACTTGCAATAACAGAATTGTAGTAGGAAGACAACTGGACAGTAAGGCCTCCACCTCTGTTTAATGGTGGATGGTTTTTCTTCACAACTATGTCTTCCTTTACTCCTCTCAAACCAACGTTCCTCTCTATCAAGGATGAGAACATCTTCATCCCTGAAAGAGTGACCGCTAGCCTGTGGATGAATGTATACTGCAGAGTCCTGACCCGACGATGTAGCTTGTCTATGCTGGCTCATTCTTTTGGACAGTGGCTGTTTTGCTTCCCCAATGTACTGTATAACTGATCACAGTCCTCCTGACACTTAACAGCATATATTATTCTGTTTTTGCTGGGGAACTGGATCTTTGGGGTGAACTAATCTTTGTTGTAATGTGTTTTTTTTTTCTTTTTTTTGTCACTTCAGCAGAAAACGAAACCAAATATTAGTTTATTGAGTTTATTGAGTTTATTGCACCCCCTCCAGGCCAAAGCCCGACAGGGCCAGAGGTCCCGAGCCCGAGCAGGCAGTCACCAGGCCAGTTCAGCACACACCCCAGCGCCCAGCTACAGACCCCGGGAACCCCCAGCACGCCGGCGGCCAGCCGCACACCCCACCTGGGGGCCGAGTAGCAACGGGCCCCCAGATAAACCAGCAGGAGGGGCAGTCCAGACCGCAGCCTGACAAATACCCCAACATACACAATTGCACCATCGAGCCCTCATCCTCACCCCCACTCAATCAAAGACATACAAGGACGCCACATTCCAYYCATACCCCCGATACACACTCTATACCCCCCAGGTCCAGGACATGCACCTACCCCCTATTGGAGGCAGCACACACCCAAACCAGGAGGTAGACCCAATCATTCTGAGGTGGAGAGGAGCAGATGGCCAAGGCCCGGGCCGGGCCGCATCAGGACGCCCGGCCAGCTCCCCGCCACAGAGAAGCCACACCCATGACTACCCCACTACACCACCAGCGACCAAGTGCACCCTCCCAGCCGCCCACCCCCCGGAACCCAGCAGCCACCCCGGCCAGCGGGCCACCCACAGGAACCAAGAGCCACACCTCAGGAGACCAAGCAGCACCAGGGAGGACGGAGAGCCAGCCCCGCCCCCGGCGACCGTCCAAGCCCCGAGCCCACCCGCAGCCCAGGACCGCTCCCGGCGGTCCGCTCTTCTTCAGGACCCCCTCCCTAAATGGCAGTCGGGGAACGGGATGGGAATAAAGACCCTGACACCCACACTCCCACCCCCAGATGTACTGTTGATGCGTGTTGTTCTATAGAGCAATTAAAAAAAGGAAAGAAGAAGAGGCAGAGGCCGGCGGGGTGCCAGTTTCCCCTCCACCACTTCTCTAAACCAAAACCCTAAGTGTCTACATGCAAAACTTGGGGGGTGGGCACAAGCACAGGAGGCGAGAGTGGGGCCATCTGGCCATCTATAGCCATGAGTGCCCACCTTAAGTTCCTATATGTGAATTTCATGAAAATGTTATGAGTGAATGTCTAAGATGTACAGTATAATTTGGGGCCCAGGTGGTAATGGCAAATAGAAATGTAATATTGTTGCTCTTATAACACAACTGTGCCCCAAAAAAACTCTACATGGGTGAAGTTGAAAGTGAAGAGGATGGAGGTGTGCGGTGAGGGATGGGGAGAATAAGCAGAAAGAGCAAAATGCTCCCACAGGGAATCAGCTCCCCCGCTGGCCCCAGTAAGCCCTCCCGTTGCCCGAAACCCACCCAGGAAGAGCAGCCCAAATACCTCTCCCTCCAGGCAAACTGCCAAGCCCACGAAGCCCCAGACCATGGACTGACGGAGCCTCGAAGGCCACCAGAAACCGGGACCAACACCCCACCCCTGAACTAATCTTTGTCATAATGTGTTTTGGGGTTTGAAAGCCACTGGGACATCATGTTTAGAGAATAAACGTCTCAGTTTCTCTGAAACTCCCGCCACATATGGAATGGCGCTGCTTTCCATTGAAGACGTGGAAGTTTGTCCTGAAGGACAAGTAACCAAGAAAGTTTCCCTACAATTTGTAAAACACAACAAGCAAGATCCATCAGCTTAAACAGTAGTTGAAAAGCTTAAGGCAGCACTTCAAGATTGCGAGTGAAGAGAAGGGAGGTCCTCTAATGGAGTTGCATAGCACAATTTGCTGATTATCTTAAGGGCAGTGGAGTGGCACAGATGGAGGAAGGAGAGGGCAAGGAAGCAAGCTCCCTTAAGGCTCAGTTATAGTCACACCTTGGGTAGTCGCGGAGTGCACGCACGTATCCTCGCCAGCGGCGGAGGTGTTTATACTTGGCACTTACGTTGTTGTAGGTTTCTCCAAAAGGACACATGGAAGTACCTTTAAAACTTGTGAAATGTTGTAAACAAAAGAGAAAAAAACACSACAAACAAAAATACTATTTGAATGGTGCGTGGCACGGGCAGGCTTTGCAGAGTTTCAAAATTTCAGAGGTGCACGACCATGTGCTGGGACACCACGCGGGGGTGGCGCGATAATGTCGCTTTTGGCGCACGCCCCCTCAGGCCTGGTGTGATGCATAAACCATGCTATACTCTCCCTACTGGCTTGGGGCCACTTCACCCAGTGTGTTCTGATTCTGTTCATGAGTCTAGTGCTTGTGTCACCTGGAGGCTCCAGGCACTGCGGGGTTGACTCCAGTCCTGGCTCCTCCTACTTTTCACTAGCTGTAGTTATTATGTGCTGACGCTCTTCCTGCATGTCTTTTTTCTTAGCCTGGTGGATCCTGAGGCCATGTTAGTTCTCGCATACCTTGCCACACACACACACACACACACACACACACACACACACACACACACAAATATAGCNAAAAACTCACCATCATAACAGATGAAGGGTTTAGGGTCAGTACAGTTCTCTCTTTTCCATCTGCCTCCATCATTAAACACAGTCACAGCGCATTGACCACTGCCTTGTTGATCATTGTTAAACTGTAGATTCCAGTTTCTGAAAGAGAAACCGCTTCCATCTGACCACTTCCAGGTGTCTCTGAAYAGACCTATAAGTATGTATGTTGAGTCTGCCACATACTTGAATATATTTGGATCAATGTTGCTTGTATGCTGTATCTGGTTCAGTCCACTGATCAGGTCTGTATGATTCTCTCTGCAGTAACTCTGAGCTTCCAGCCAGGTCTTCTTTTCTTGAATCAGATAGAATTTCACAGATGTTGAACTTTCTGATGAGTAAACAGATAAAGTTAAATCACCACACTTTTGACAGTCTTTCTCAGCAAAAGAGAAATTGAAAATTTCATAAAAATGAATCATAATTTTGTCGTAAAGTAACCTAAACCATTGAAGCAGAAATGTTGAATTAAAAATAAACTTTCTCRCCATTGCAGCAGAGGAAAAAATGAGGTTCTGCACAGGAAATGTCTCCCCASTTGAGGTTTTTCCACATGAGCCCACAGTTCTGAACCTCAAACCCTATATTATCTGGTTCTCTTGTGTCCCATTTTGTTTCACTTTTATTAAACTCCACTCCAGGCAGAGACCAGTACCACGTCCTGTTGACACCTGTTTGTTCTTCCAGACCAATCCAAGCTTCAGTTATGTCCTCTGCTGAYATGTTGAGGATTCTCTTCATGTCTGYCATGTTGGACACTGTGACCAGGTCAGAGTGATACTTTCTGCAGAACTGCTGAGCTTCAGTCCAGGCTTTATTCTCTTTAATAAAGTGATACTCATAGAGTTGACACACCGACACACAACACTGACCTAAANCACACACACACACACACACACACACACACACACACACACACACACACCATTGTTATTGTTGTAATTCCATTGCCATCGGTCGTCATCTGCTGATCTGTCCAGGTGGGATTGTTGCCCCCACCCCCCACAGGAATCCCTGAGGATATTCTTCCAAAAATTGATTTGTAGCACTTGGGAGTTTCTTCCTTGCAGTTGACATAGTTCAGGCTGCAACTCCTTACTGCCCTGGTGCCGTCTTTCCAGACTCTCCATTGTCTTTCCGACAGTCACCAATCCAAGGTTGGTCATCAACTTAAYGTGTCTTTATCAGAAATCAAAGATATCAGATTTATAAGCCTCTTTTTTATAGTTGGACATTTAGAATAGTATTTTAAAAATTGTCTGCAATAGATCATCTTAGTTTGTCGGTGCCAAACTAATCACAAATTTGTGTAAAAAATAAAAAGAGATTGAAATAAACACAGAAATCATCATTCATTAGTGTAGTGAAAACCCCTTGTTAAAAACCATGAACATGATTTTTAACTGAGAGTCTTCCTTCCTGGCTCGGTAACGGTTTTGTTGAAGCAAAATGAACAATCAAACACAAACACACAGAAATAGACCAAGTCGTTAAGGTTTATTTTGGCCAGTTAAAGCTAACTGACTTTTATTAAAAGAGATTAATGAATGATTAAAATATGTGGTGTGGGTTTTTTTGGGGGGTATATTCTAAAATAGGTAATTTGTGACTCACAAATTACCCTAACTCGAGGCACCACATTCCTTAATTTGATTAAATATTGACCCAGGAAAGAAATGAAAAGCTGTAACTTTATTGGAATCAGTCTCAGAATAAATTTACCCAAAAAGATTTGATGAGTTCTTGTCTTATCAGAACCAATAATACTTTATCAAGACACAAAAATGAGATTTGCTTATGTGGGCACGTTTTCCACGGGCCATTTATTTACAGATTAAATGTATTCACAACTATGGCGAGTAATGAGTGATGACATAATTTAACCATATAGAAACAGAAAGAGTTTGCAATCACGAGTGAGTATCGACAAAACAAACAAACAAATAAACAAACAACAAATAAACATAAAATAAGCACTGAGAGGTGAGTTTGAGGCTTGGAGTGAGGAGAGATAAGCTGCTTTTAGCTGTGATTTTTAACTAAGGACTCCTAAGTTAAATTAGATCGAGAAAAACGTTTAGTTTACCAAATCTCATACAAAGATAAAAATCAAATTTACGTCTGAGCACCTGTGTGTGTCACCAGTACAAATCTTCACCTTTACCCTTTTGTTCTGCTGATGGYGGTACCAGGAGTAGTCGTCGGCTAACCGAAGAATCTTTAGGTGATGTTTCCCAAACTGGTTCAGTGTAGTGGCTGGTCAGACACTCAAGATGTCTGTTCAGCTGCTGGTCCTTCAGTCAGAAAAGGGGGGTTCGCTCTCTGGTGACTCGTAGTCTGGTCCTTCCCAGGTGGCTGCAAGACTCTTAATTTGATATTCACTTTGTAGAGAAAAACAAACTAAAACGACACATGACTTACCATTAGCTTATTTGACTCCTATAAAATCAAACTCAGAGACTGAGCCGATGGAACGAGCTATTCGAATCAATCAGCGGAAGATGTTGAATGACCCCCC